GATTCAATGACTCAATTTTAGGATTCACTCACTCAATCGTAGGATTCAATGACTCAATTTTAGGATTCAATCACTCAATCTTAAGATTCAATGACTCAATTTTAGGATTCACTCACTCAATCGTAGGATTCAATGACTCAATTTTAGGATTCAATCACTCAATCTTAAGATTCAATGACTCAATTTTAGGATTCACTCACTCAATCGTAGGATTCAATGACTCAATTTTAGGATTCAATCACTCAATCTTAAGATTCAATGACTCAATTTTAGGATTCACTCACTCAATCGTAGGATTCAATGACTCAATTTTAGGATTCAATCACTCAATCTTAAGATTCAATGACTCAATTTTAGGATTCACTCACTCAATCGTAGGATTCAATGACTCAATTTTAGGATTCAATCACTCAATCTTAAGATTCAATGACTCAATTTTAGGATTCACTCACTCAATCGTAGGATTCAATGACTCAATTTTAGGATTCAATCACTCAATCTTAAGATTCAATGACTCAATTTTAGGATTCACTCACTCAATCGTAGGATTCAATGACTCAATTTTAGGATTCAATGACTCAATTTTAGGATTCAATGACTCAATTTTAGGATTCAATCACTCAATCTTAGGATTCAATGACTCAATTTTAGGATTCACTCACTCAATTTTAGGATTCGATGACTCAATTTTAGGATTCAATCACTCAATTTTAGAATTCAATGACTCAATTTTAGGATTCAATCACTCAATTTTAGGATTCATTCACTCCATTTTAGGATTCAATCACTCAATTTTAGGATTCAATCACTCAATTTTAGAATTCAATGACTCAATTTTAGGATTCGATCACTCAATTTTAGGATTCATTCACTCAATTTTAGGATTCAATCACTCAATTTTAGGATTCAATCACTCAATTTTAGGATTCATTCACTCAATTTTAGGATTCAATCACTCAGTTTTAGGATTCAATCACTCAATTTTAGGATTCAATCACTCAATTTTAGGATTCAATCACTCAATTTTAGGATTCAATGACTCAATTTTAGGATTTGATGACTCAATTTTAGGATTCAATGATTCAATTTTAAGAAGACTGTTGGGGCTGCTGTCAAAACGTTATAAAAAATAAATGTGTTTTAAAACATAACAAGACGCTTGCTAAGCGTTTACTCGAGCTAAAGATTTGCAAAATATCAGCGTATTTGCATCAAGGTATAATACATTTTACATCTTAGCTTACTCCTTTAAAGTGCATTATTTACTTTACGAGTTAACTGAGCGGGCTCCTTGTGGCGCAATCGTTTAGGCGCCCGATTGCGAAGCGTGGCCTCCCGGGTTCAAGTACCGTAAGCAACAGTTTTATTTTCAAGTTAAAATTTTTTTTTCAACTTCTTTGAGTATGATTTATGACTTGATCGAGTACGCATATTAAAATCCACTATTATTATACTTTTTGTATGAAGAGTACAGAGTACAGTCCTCAGAGAGTAAACAAAGTAATAGCACGAGAACAGGAAGTCGAATGAGCCATTGAACGCCAGCACGAAGAGCAGGAAGTCGAATAAGCCATTGAACGCCAATAAGATAACCACAAATAATCACATGCGTCCACGATTTGTTTCGATTGGTCAGAATTACGAGTGGCCGCGTGGGAGAATACGTCTTGCGGGAAAAAAACCCCGACCGAAAGTGTAACTCGAGCTGAGCTCGAGTAATTATGATGTCTCGTATGAGATGTCATTTCAAATCCTCCAATTCGGACAGGAGTAGATTTCAAGACTTTGCATTTTGGGAGGACTTGAAATCTAGTCCAGTCCTCGTAGTCGAATTTTAAATATTACTTAAACCACTTAGTTCCTTTAGTGCAATCCGGATTTGAATCTTCAAATCCGATTATCGATTTTCAGTTTCATTTAACAAAATCTTAAAGTAGATTCGAATCTGATAAATCCACCTCAACATATGGATTTTTCGGATTCAATCTGAAACTTGATTAGGATTCGACGTTCCTTTTGAGCTTCTGGCGTTCTAGCATGTACCTTGACCCGACCAAAAGGTATAGTACGACGGGAAAATATGGTGTAAAAATGGCGGGAAAACAGTAGGCGACTTCCGATTCTCACAATACCTTCCATTAGTTTAACGAATCCAAACAAACCGAATCCTAAAAAATCCAAATCTAGATTTACAAAAGAAACGCTCCTTAAATCACACTGTAGTTTTCAACAATGTAATGATGTCTTTACCAACTGCTGTTTCATAAATTCGAACAGTCTGTGCCAGTACGTGTACAGGATAACTGTACAAGTATACAGATTGCGACAGATACAACCCAACTAACTTTCTGACGAAGTGCCTTCGCTCGAAACGTTGAAGTTCTGTTGGTATTGTTGAGGTAGTTGTATCTCTCGCAATCCGCTGTTCTCTGTTTCATAAGTTACGTGCACACTTACTTCCTTGACCGTTTCTTTAACTGTAGCGAATGCTTCTTCTTTATAAGCATGAATGAAATGAAACTTTTGTTTTCTTAGAAGGCCAAACAGCACAGAAACAAGGCGCTCCTATATGATAGGAAATAAGTTTAGAAACACAACAACGGTCAGAAAATGATCATATACTTCCAGTTGATTAAACGGCTAGACGTCCATGTTTTATCGAAATCACTTTCAAACGATGTTTCGTATTCCCTAAAAATTATTCGTAAAATATGGGGTTTCGACAACCTCATCTTTACGCCATCAGGAGTCTAATCAGGCAAGAGAAATACCTTGTCAATGACGTGATCCTGTTCATCATAATCTTCAAGCGGTTTTGCAAGGTTTGTTGTGGCAAACTCAATAAAATCTGCTTCCATCATACGTTCAATAACTCTCTCTAACTCTGCTAGCTGGGAACCTAAATGCCTGAATAATACAGATTAAGAAGTAACAAACTATAAGTAATGGAAATTTGAAACTCCCACTATGTGAGGATGGCTGTATGCACATCGTAACGAACGAAAATAGCACCTGAGAGAATTAAATCTACACCCTAAATTTCTGTGTTGCCCAAAATGGTGAAAGGCATTGCAGCTCTGTTAGACACTCAATTAGTGCAAATGTAGTGAATACCAAATACACTGATTGATCTACACCCAATAAGTGTATTGAAACACTTAAGTATTCAATACATACATACATACATACATACTTTATTGTGTTCCTCAAAGAGGCTTTTCAACACTAATTTACATGGAATGGTGATTAAAAGACAAGGTTAAGATTACATATATAAACATTTACTAGGAAAAATCTTCTATTATTAAAATAGTCCATTACTAAAAATACAGTCTGTCTAACATGTCTTTTTTTAATTTATTCTTAAAACTTCTCAAAGATGGCAATTGTTTCGTGTTATTGTCCAGATCATTCCATAGTTTCGCCCCTCTATAATGAAATGTTCTCTGGCCAGTGGTGGTATTATAAATCGGTATTCGGAGGAGCTCTCGGTTACGAGTGTTACATTCATGTATATTTGATCGTTTACTAAATTTATTGCACAAGTAAGGTGGGGCTAGATTGTTGATACACTTGTACATCAAAACTGTATCTCTAAAAAGTAAGTGTTCCTTAACTGGAAGCCAATTCAGTTCTTGCAGTTTTGGTGAGATGGGTGTAAATTTAACAAATAGATAAGATTTTGCCGTTGTCTGTTCAGTTATAGATACACAGTATGACGTCATAATGTGGGAAGAACAGAACAGTGGCTCACGAGCCGCCTGTTTTATATAACAAAAAGAAAAACCACAAAATAAACAGGTAAATAGCTTACTTTTAATCCACCCAAACATTTGGCAATTTCAAATTTGAAAGTCGAAATTTTACAAATATCACGCGTTCATCTATACAAATAAGGGAATGCTATTGGCTACCTTAAGTTACGTCACTTGTGACGTAATTCCGTGCGTCTGTCCTCTAATAGATCATGGCTCTCTACCAATGAAAGTGCTTGAATTCTTGACGTTATTATACAAAATCACGATTGATCTGTGTATTTGACATTCACTAACAAAAATAGGCACTCAAAGAGTGCGTAAGGATTTGCAATTTTGTTGTCAATTTTATAATGCAAGAAAGATTGAAAAATATCAGTTCATAATGCAAGAACGATGGGAAAATATCGCCCAAAATGTAGTACAACAAAACACAACATCATGAATGACAAATCTTTTCTTCGAATGTCAACTTTGTTTAATCACTGTTACAGTATATTCCAAGTTAATCTAATACAACTTTTAAATGGCTTTATCACTGCCTCAAAGATAAAAGAATACCTGAATTTGTAGAAATGTTGAAGGTATTTTATAATTTGACGTTTGGACAAAAAAACTCCAAAATTATTGATTTTATTTTATACGGCCGCTCCTGAGTTGAACGAATTTGTCTTTTAGGACCTTTCCATTTGTATTTCTAGCACAAAACAGTCAGTCATATATTCATTCGTTTAGCTGAAAGTAAGTGGTACAATGTTTAGTCGTTGGTGTATTCTACGAAAATGAGCTGGGTTTTTGCCCGAAAGATTGCGAAAATATCGACCATCACAAATGGCGGATAATAGCTTCCGGCGGTTCACGAATACTCGACTCGGAACTCAACGTCACTAATGTGTTACTATCTATCTATCTTACACATCCGGATAACATAAAGGATTTTGCTTCGCAAATGATTTACTGAGCTGCAATGATTTACTCCATTTTAGTGTTGTGGCAACACCCGGAAATCTAGAGTGTAATGATAATGAATGCAAAACCTACAAAATTTGACTTTTAAAAATATTTACCTTAAACTTTGAATACCACCAAGTTCAAGTTGAAGAACTTCTTGAGTTGTGGAAATTAAATCTAACGCTGCTACAAAATCTCCGGTGGATAACAGCAATTGTATTGTAGGTTGAGTTTGTTGTACTGCAGACATCAGTTTCAACTAAATAAAAGTCACAATTTTTCAATATATATGTGCTCTGGTTAACGGTTTTGAAAGAATGAGTGCAGATCTCACTGGGGAAAATGTGAAATCCATACTATGAAATATACAATTGCACCATTTAATCCACAGTATATCCATACTATTTCGATACTATATCCATAGCATGGAAATATACAATTATTAGTGCATCATAATCAAAATCCATTCTATTTCCAATAAAGGTCCATACAATTTCGATTCTATAACCTTCTATGGATTTTCAAAATTTTTTCCAGTGTCTTGTATTAGCCTACTAACTTCCTGCTGAATGAAGTACTGTAGGTTGAAACCTCAAGCTGAGGTTGTTGAGCAAACCTGGGTCAGAAGTACACTGAAAGTATGTTGTCTGAGAATTTCAAGTTTCCCAGTATTTTCTTGAAATTTTTACACTAGCAGAGATCAGACTTATCATTTATGTTATATTTCATGACAATGATTTCAGAAGTGGCACTGGAAAAAATTTTGAAAATCCATAGAATGGAAATTGTATCGACTTTTATTGGAAATAGAATGATTATCCATAGTGATCAATACTTCCATACTATGGATATAGTGTTGAAATAGTACGGATATACTACTACTGCAATTGCAAATCTTATAGTATGGATTTCACATTTTTCCCCAGTGTGGATGCCATCACAAACTTTATGCGAGAGTGTTTAACTCTTGAGTTGTATTTCTACCAGTTATATGTAGATTATTTTAGCATACACTTGGGGTAGATAGCATATAAAGTCTGGTTTCCATATGGTCGTAACGGTCGTAAAGATTGAGTCACGATCGTTCTCATCAGTCGAATTACAACATTTTAGAACTGGAAATACGCGGAGTAATTATAACTAGATAATATGATTTGTATGTGGCTTACTATTATAAACTATTATAAACTGGCTGTTGAGAAAGATCGTGACTCTATTTTTACGACCATTACGACATAAGGAAACCAGGCTTTAGGATAGGATTCGAATAAGAGAGTTTTTCAAGTTCAGTTGAGGTCTTACATAGTGCAAACTTAAAATGATGAATTATCAATGAATATTAAATATGTGACCCTCAACCTGCTCACTTCGCTGGCAGAGCTAAGTTAGCTAACTGCAAATTATTTTTGGCGACCTGCAAGAAAAGTAAATATACACAGGCATGGTCGCTTGTAGTGCATTATTACCTTATTATGAACAGAATAATATCTTGATCGTAACTGCATGAGCTGCATAAACTTGAAAGAACCGCCACACAGCACATCTTGTACTTGTTTTATCTTTGTTCTAATATGAAAAAATAGAGGCGATTTAGCAGCATGCCGATGCATTTCCACTGAAAGGAATACACGTCAAAACATTTTCGTATCTCCAAAATTTTCTGTAAAGTCATAAAATCCCGTACAAAATCAACATTATTTTTCTAAAATCCCAATTTTTTGGTTTAAAAATCCTCCCCAAATCCGAAAATTTTTCAACAATTAAAAAAAAACAAATGTCAAAATCTCTGAAATTTGGAAAGTTAAAATTTCCGAAAAACTTGTTACATTTAATCCCACGAAAATGCTGTACACGTTTTATAGACCTCCTGAATTCCACAGCTTTTGAATAATTTTGCAGCGCAGTAAAGACCTGCAAAAACCTACAAATAATTTAAAGTATACAACTATATTCACATATTTTGCGTCATATATATTTCACAATGTCACGGCCATCTCACTGTCGAAATTTCCAGTAATCGCAAAATATTCTGCTCAAATCGTTTGCTCACATGAACCAATTCATTTGATAAGTTCTTTGGAAACATGATATTAAAATTCGCAATAATTGATACAATTTCTGTCAATAATTAAATATATTCTATATACTGTGTCCAAACCAAAAGAACAGAAATGCAAGTAAATGCGTGATGAAAATGAATAGCCCTTCAGAACCAGTGAACTCTGTGTAAACTGGAACGATAACTCGGAGGAGGGGGGATTGGAGCCAGTTCATTTTAGTTTGTCTGAGTTTTGAGTAGAAATACATAAACACTGAACCTTTGTGCTGTACAAGACTTTAGCTAAAAAGGAAATATTTAAAAACTACAAACATAATTGCCAATAATTTGCCATTTTTTTCCGAATGGCAGTTGGTTTTGTATTTTCAAAATATTTTTTATTTTCGCTAAGTCTTGAAATTTCCACACCGAATAGCAATTTTTAATAGCTTCAGTTTGATATATAGCCCAACGTTTGGGGTCAAGTACTTGATCAGCTCAAAACTCAGAAAAACTATTTTGGCTTGAGCGAATCATAGGCTTGACATAGGCGAGTTTACTGTTCAGAACAGGCTTCGTGAGCAGTGTTTCCCATGCAGTTAAAGTGTTCCAAGCACCGCAGTAAGTCCCCAAACAACAAGTGGGACATTGAATGGCGGTAAAGGTTAACGCCACTGCGCTCGATTTGTGACAGACAATACTGTATACGTGTTAGTATATCCATTTAACGCACCTTAAATGTTTTATTTCAGAATTAGTTTGTCCAACATCATCTTGAAGTTGATCTTGGGAAGACACAGCGTGGAAAAAATCTTCAGATCTCAGTGATATCTGATGAGCTAAAGCAACCTCTGTGATGTCCAAGAAATGTGTCAGCTACGGAAGAACAAAGATTAGTATACAAAAATGCTCCGAAATGTCGAGTTTTATCATAGGACTATGAAAATATGGCAATTGCATGGGTCATTTGTAATTCAAAGTTCCTGAAATCAAAAAGCTCCAGAGCAGCCTAAGAATCAAGCCTAATCTTGTCACAGGGATTCGAGTTACCGAGCTGCGATGCAGTTTGCATTATCACTGCAAGCTATTGTCAATAAAGGCATTTGAAAGTTCCTTAAATAATCATATCTGCATGTTGTATCCACGGGTCAATTAATGGTGACTTTTCCTATAGAATGTACTACAGATTGAAGAGCGGTTATACCCATCCCTGTTGCACATGTATTTAGTCCCCGTAAGGAATTCTAGCTCGAATTTAGGGAGTTATTGCAGACAAAATGGTGTTTAAAAAACATGATGCATGATGAGAATTATAATATGTAATTTAATGTAATTTAAGCTAGGGCACCTGTGCCCTCCACAGTAAGTTATGCTCATTACACATCAAGTCTTTGCAAAGGAGAAACTATATATAATCGCAAATGACAAACATTCTAAGATATCCAGGATTAAGATCAATATATATTTTACTTTTCCATCTTTGATCTTTGCAAAATCTTATATATACATTACCTTAATTGTTACAACACGTTGATGTCTACACGTACATCATGCTACCTCAAAACTAATAGGTGCCTTATTTGAAAGAGGGTGCATGAGGATTTATGTTAATTAAACATATTTGACTTAAATTAACCAAAACTATGTTAGGGAAAATTGCAGTCATGGTATTATCAAATAAATGAATTATGTACCTTTTCTTGCATCAACTTGAGCGAGTTCTTCGGAACAGTTATCAAAGCGTTTCTATTTCGATGTTTTGCATCAACTGTGTCTAGTCTTGTCATGGGAATAACATATTTAAATGTCTCAGGATCTTCCAGAGTAAAATTTGCGTCCATAAATGTCTAAAGATAATATATAAATTTATCATCACACATTGAATTTGCGTTAAACTAGTTACAGATTCTATACAGTAGCAAAATTGACTTTATTGTCATCAATATATAACAAATTGTTAAATTCAAATAAAAAATCAAATAGCAAACCTTTGGTATGACATCAAGATTATTCAAGTACTTATCTAAAACAAAACGTATACTGCATATTTTAAAAACTGAATCACTGATGCATGCTTATACTGTATGTATACAGTAACAAGCAACCTTCAATTCAGTATCCGCATCGGGATATCATATCATTGCATGCAGCTCTAATCAGAACATGTACAGTATATTGCACTGGATTGAAAGAGGAGATTGAAGGTTTCACGGGAAGAATCACGGGAATTCGTAAATTATAAATCACTTTTCTACACAAAAACGGAACGGTTTTCAGAACGTAACTGCGCAGAGTCAGAACTATCAATTTCTTTCAATTAATGTTCAAATCCGCAAAAAGTATACTAATTGGGTATAGTGGTCAACTGTGCATCACATTGTGTTGTATCTTAAACGGAAATGCCATACAATTTTTATTTCCTCATTTGAAAGAACTTTTGAAACTATATATTAACTTCTTTCACTGATTTTTCATATCTTGCTTAGTTCTTGAAATATTTTCACTAGAAGTAATGAGATGTCTACCCTGGATTCTAGAGCCTTCGACAGTACATTTTAAATTGAAACGTCGCGAAGGCTCTGGTTCAACGGGAAGATTCTTTGATTAAACCGCGCCAATCACAAAACAGGATTAGTGGTTTTATTACAGATTCTGTACTAAAACCACTAATTCTGTTTTGTGATTGGCGCGGTTTAATCAAAGAATCTTCCCGTTGAACCAGAGCCTTCGCGACGTTTCAATTTATTATTTACTGAAGGCTCTGGAATCCAGGGTATGAGATGTCCGCCATCTTGGATAATTTTTTATCTCATTAATTAACGGTAGTTTTGGTTACGTCACAACAGGGCCAATTATATAAAAGTATTCGTTGCTGATCAAGCATTTAATGGTCGATGTTTTAAAGGTTTTGAATGATCTTGATATTTCGAAGGGCAGACAAGAGTGCAGTTTTGAGTGCAAAATTATTAGTGTTAGTCTAAATAAAAATATTGTGTGACCCCTGTTGTGATGTGACATGCATATCTGCAAAATTTATTTTTACATTGATAAAAGCGAGCCTATATATACTTGCCTCCTTGTCTTTTAACAGCAGAAGCAGCAGCTTTACTAAAGCCAGTATCACCAAGATCACCAGACTCTTCAGCACTTTGAAAGCTTTTCTTTACCTTTTCATGATTTTTTATTCTCTATTAATGCAAAACAAGACAAAACAGCTTTGTGGAGTTGTCAACAGTGCAGGAAAACCTAAAGCGCATGCACATAAAATAGCGGGGGAATTGTCTGCCAAAATAATAGAAGGAAGTACGGGAAAAAGGAAAGTGTCTACTGTATAAGGAAATGCCTTAAAGTGCCCCTGTGACAAAAATCATCTCGCCAATTTAGATCTTAGTTAAACATTACCTCGAAATAAGCTAGCACAGTGTTCTTGGTTTTTCAATATTTTGTTTCGTTCTCAAGATATTCAGCTTTTTAAAACATGTAAATTAGGTATTTAGGTCCACAGTGACGTCATTTACTCCAGAATATTAAATCAGATTTAGAAAACGATGAATATATTTCTTCGTGATGGTAAAATTCACTCAATGTTTGCAGCACTATAGCTATGTGGCACCATGGATAATACATGGTGGCACATACACATTTCAATGTGTACATACATTGCTTCCATAGAAACAGTAGAAACTACTTCACTAAAAAATGTTAATTGTGTGTTTTCTGCCATATTTGTGAAAAATACGACCATTCAAATGACTGAAACCTGACTTTTGCGTGTATACGAGTATTCCGCCCTAGGCTTTAGTTTAAACCTTGCTCTACAAGCAAAACGCATTTTTTGCTTTACGGTTTCCATGAAAAACGCCGTGATAGAAATTTTGAGATGTGAAACACTATATTCGCTATAATAACACAAAGTTTGAATTAATTGTTTCTCTCACGAATAGAGATATTTGGCAGAACTTCGTCAAGACAATGCTATTCCCAATCATTCGAGTACAAGCTGTCAATACTGCAAAATTTGACCGAGATTTCGTAGTTGTCAGCTCAACCACAACCATTAAACATGGACAGATATTTTACAAAACAGACCAGTTCCAAATTTACAAAAAACAACACAGCCGCGGGTTGGTACTAGTCACATTGCCCAATCTGATGGCGTTGTGGCGCCATTGTTAAGGTGGCTCAATACAGTTTTTAAAAAATTCGCGTGAAGTTTTAAACGTAAAATTATTGTCACGGCAACACATGCCAACCAAACAAATACGCCAACATTTTCGTGCACCATTTTACTTAAAACACAGATAAACAATAAGCAAAAATATAAATGAATGTTTAATATTTACGAATTTTGTTGCTTTATTTGTTTGCACAAAACATGTACTGCTTTCCTTTTCAATGCATAAGTGCACTTTTTAACGTTGGTTCGAACGGTGGTCCAGTATGTTTGTCCCAGAAACAGAGACAAGGCGCAGCAAAAAGTTGGTCGTAAAAGCACAAGATTAATTGAAATGAGATTTTCCCGCAAAAAAAGGAAATTCAGAGAACGTGAAAGAAGTTCTTACTAGGCGGTTGTGGAAGCATTTCATTCCGCCCAAACTATCGAACATACTCACGGGCAAACATAAAGCGGTGGCAAACTCGGCAGTCACCGCAATACTTACAAACTTAATTTTCCTGATATAATCACTAAAATAATGCTTGGGAACCGCCTGCAACAAAGTTAATGGTGGCACTTCACAAGGTTCAAATTCTGCTCCCCAAGTTCTTGTGAAAAATTCCTTGGATCTCTTCCCCTCATTTGGATCATTAAGAACAGCTGCGAGGTTCTGAGTTGATGAGAAAAATGTCCAGTTTTCTTCCTTGAAGGAGATAGGAGGCAACTGTACATAACCAATCATTCTGTTTTCACGATTATTCACTGTGGAAGCATGAGAATTTTCTGTAAATAAGAACCTTTATTAAAGTTAAGATGTTCTGCTGGAAGACCAATACTGTCCAGCATTAAACATAGTAAAGTATAAATACTTTGGTAAGTTTATGAATTAATGTTGACATAATTGCAAATTCCAGTTGAAATTAATGTTTCAGAATGAACGCTGCGAGATGGATGCCGACGTACTGTACTTCACAAGTACGAAAAATCTGACAGGACAAAATATAAAATAGGGACCATGCAGTGCACAATTTTGTGTGTTCATATAGCTTGTTAAAGTACACTGGTAGCCCATGCACATGCAGCATAAACATTCTTCGTAAATACATATACAAAAAGAATGTTGTGGTCAAGTTTTTTGAAGGATTTGTTTCGAGGGATTTGGGAGATTTAGGATTTTCGATTCAACATTAGTTTTGACTATTTTTTAATTCAGTGTTTTGCTAGCTACAAAGTACAAGCCTCTCAAATACCAAATTGTCAATGCCTCTCTGGCAGCTACATATACTCAGGGTTTTCACTTCCGCTACCCCCTGAAAGCCGCTGCAGCGAAAACCCTGACTCAGGATGGTCACATGGCAGTGGCACCCAGGATTTAGGTGCCACGTGGAAGTATGGCACTAGGTTGGGGTGGGACAGTAGTCATGTGCTACCAATACAAAAATAGTTCTGCTCATATATCAGATACAGAAAACCAAGAGAAAGGCAAAAGAAACTCAAACTAAAAACAACTAATAGATTAAAAGCTGCAAGAGAATGCCTATGAAAGGTTATGAGATTGATACAGATTCAGCTCTAATTTGCAGAGGAAACTGAGCTACACAGTATTGGCAAGTTTTGATCGAAATATACTTGATATATTTGACAATGATATATTTATACCCAGTTCAAAACTTGAGATAATTTACAAAGGTAGGAACTAACTATGAAAAGCGTTGTACACATACATTTGTATACTTTTTATATAATTTGTCCTCGAATTTTTCTTTGGCTAACAGCGTATGAAGCTAACTCGAGCCAACACAAGATGTACAGTACATTTTATATGAAATAGTCTGAATAGTATGACAATAGTACATGACTTGGTTTTATTGCCGCTGAACTAAATATGGGGAAAACAATAGCTGCCTTTATGTGGTTTACAATTACATGGAGCCAGGATGTAGGGTGACCCTATTACCATGAAACTATAGCCGTCTCCAAATAAGTCCCGTACTAATTTTAAATCTGCGAATCAAAGTACCGGGTGACAACAAGTTTGGGAAGCCGAAATAGAAACAATCAGAGTGTGTTAGTTTTTGCTAATGTTTCAAACGTAAATGACATTGTGTGAACCAGAAGTGCAGTTGCAGGAATATTGCTAGAAGTTCAAAAATTAAAATGTTAACAGATCTGTCAACTCTCCCGGTGCTGCCGGGAGACTCACGGTTTTGACCTTTTTCTCCCGGTCTCCCGGTATCAAGGTATTTTCTCCTGGTTGCTTGTTTTAATTGATATGAGGTACTGGAATATTTTCCAGATTCAAATATCTGGCAAGAAATAGTAATCGTGTGAAAATCACTCGTGTCCAAGCTGAAACTTACTCCATGAACTACAAGTGTTCAGCTTTTTTATCCACTTTCGCACTATAAGCGATAAGTAGATTATTGTCAGTAAGGATATAAGATGTAACATATGGAATCTCGATAACTAGTTGCATTCCTGTCATGTTAGCATTGAATTAAATTAAACAAGTTGTTGAAGCGAATGCAATTATAATGATTATAAAGCCAGGAAAATGATTAGAATTTTTTACTGTTTTGAACACTGCATATGACTTTAATTTTGCTCTTCCGGTTTTTGATAAAATCTCACAGTTTTTTAAGAGCTAAAAAGCAAAATCTCCCTGTTTCAAAATTGACAGGTCTGATGCTAATAAATGTTAGTGGTTAGTGAAATGATGAAAATCAATGAAAGTCAATCTTCCACTTTGAAGGACATCTCCATTCATAAGGCATTAAATTTTACAATCTTGTAAATCTTGTATCAGATCACACAATTGTATCTTTTTGTGAATTTAAAAGAAAAAGAAAAAAAATTACTTTACCAAAGTTTAAATTCCGTGATTTAAACTGAATTTCGCAGAATTCTGCAAAATTCTGCGATTTTTGGACGATTCCATAAAATCGAGGCATCACAGAAATCTTAACCTGAGTATCAGGCTCTATTTTACAAATAGAGCCTGACACAAAACTTAACCTGATCGCTTTCCGCCCACAGCAAAGTTTATATTTAGTATCCAATCAAAACGTCGCAGGAGAAATTTAAATTTCACACAACGACAACAATCTAATTACAGCATAGCAGCCCACTAAACGGCTGAATTTAAATTAAAACTGCAATGAACTTATAAAATTAACAAAAATAATCACAAATTAGCGAAACATATTGCAATTGTAGCTTATATTAAATCGCCACCCGATTGCTCTCTCCTCCGCAGAGGTTTCAGTGACGACAACAAGCTTTATTTTTTTTACATGGCGCTTACCGTATTTATCAACAAACTGACATACAATTATAAAGTATATATTTATTAAGTATACTTTATAACTATATGTCAGTTAGTCGATCGTGCAATCTGATATTCTGATGGCGATTTAATTCATATAAGCTACATTTGCAATATATTTCGCTAATTTGCGATTATTTTCTAATTTTACTGCAGTTTTAATTTAAATTCAGCTGTTTAGTGGGCCAGCTATAATTGTAGTTGTGATCGTTATATGATCATTTCCGGTGACGTAATATTTTGAGTGGTCTCATCCAATCAGCACTCAGTCCAGATTCTGGACTGAATAACCAGGCAAAATGCCACTTTTGTGTCAGGCCGTACTTTTCTCCCCTTCGCCCGTGGTCAGGCGTGCCTGTGCCCTAAAAAGTACGGCCTGATACTCAGGTTACAGAATTCTGGAATGCCTGACAAGAAACATTACATGAAAAGACAAGAGATGATATTAAGGATGTGTTTACTTTATTGTTTATTGAACAAGTCACATATTATTAGCACTGATGAAGATCTGGGCTTACGGATCTACAGGCGGCCCAATCTTATCCTGTGTTATTAATTTATTACGTTATATCTTTATATAATAGTATATTGAAAATCATTACAAAATCCTGTGTTATTAATTTATTACGTTATATCTTTATATAATAGTATATTGAAAATCACTTACATGTGTTTCCTGAAAGATTTTAATGAGAACCAGCCA